CTCTGTGATGCTTGCCATAGATGCAGGTGAAACATCAGGAGAGAATGCTTCTGGAACACAGCCATACAGCTCAGAAAACTCACAACAACCCAGTGATTCCAGCCACGAAAACTTGCCACAATACATTTCAGATCTGATTCAGAACATTTTCTTAGCCAGCTTAACAGCTCCGTATAGAGGAGCATTTTACTGGTGTGAGGAGAAAGCAAGGTTTTTCTGCCCAGTATGCCAAGAACCAGTATCGTATCTGTGTCCATGGACTACAGCTGTAGCTTTCGTTCCTGGAAACTTGCAGTGAACTGGCAATCAATTGCTCACAGAGTGGCATTGAATAGCTGACAATAAAAGCAAGGCTGAAATCCAATTGCTAGTCCAAACGACTGTGGACCTGTGACATCAATGGGAGCTTCACACGTCAGCTTATATCAGTTCAATTGATTTTTGGTTACTGTTGTTATGTGCCTTCAAGTCATTCCTTATTTATGGCAACCCTAAGGTGACTCTATCATAGGGTTTTCTGGGGCTGAGACTGTGTGACTCACTCAAGGTTACGAGTGGGTTTCCATGACCAAGAAGAGAAGCAAACCCTGGTCTCAGTTCACAGTCGAGCATTCAAACCACTATACAACACTGGTTCTCAAACCACAACATTCACACTGACTATAGAGCAGGCATGGGCAAACTTTGTCCGTGCAGGTGTTTTGGACTCCAACTCCCACAATTCCTAACAGCCTCAGGCCCTTTCCTTTTCCCCCTCAGCCGCTTAAGCTTAAGCGGCTGAGGGGGAAAAGGAAAGGGCCTGAGGCTGTTAGGAATTGTGGGAGTTGGAGTCCAAAACACCTGCACGGACAAAGTCTGCCCATGCCAATATATAGTCTGCTAACAAGTACATTTAGTTCCATCCAACATAACTTATAAAGTTTACTATTTGATTAAAATGTCCAGAATCCTCATGGCAGCCAGAGAACTCTGGGAATTCAAGTCTCCAGATTCTTTCGCCCATTATCTTAAAAAGGATCATCTATCTCACCAGCTAAAAGACTAGGAAACAAAAGAAACTCTGGGGAGAAGTTCATACATCCACAATCAACAACCGCTGGATCAAGTCATAGCATGCATGTAACGTGTACGTCCATCGGAAAGAACAGTTGCAGGTCAAATGAGGCAGAATTCACTTCCACGCAACCTAATAATATCTCAAGCACAATGGTTTTAAATATGGAGCTACTTTGCACAATCAGGTGTGAGTCAGCCGAGAAGACACAACTTCGTGTTAATCCATCCTTAAGGGTTGGAGATCTTAAAATACACTTAAATTATGTCCATGTCTATGTTAATGCGAATGTAAGACAGTATGCTTTAATGTGTTGTCAAAGGTTTTTATGGCCGGAATCACCGATTTGCTGTGAGCTTTACGGGCTGTCTGGCCATGTTCCAGAAGCATTCTCTCCTGATGTTTCGCCCACATCTATGGCAGGCATCCTCAGAGGTTGTGAGGTCTGTTGGAAACTAGGCAAATGGGGTTTATATATCTGTGGAAAGTCCAGGGTGGGAAGAAAGAACTCTTGTCTCTTTGAGGCAAGTGTGAATGCTGCAATTGACCAGCTTTGTAAGCACTGAATGGCCTTGCAGTTTCAAAGACTGGCTGCTTCCTGCCTGGGGGAATGTCAGACTAAACAGAGAAGCAGTGAAAGCATGCGAACCATTTCAACAGAAAGGAGGAAACTATGAAAATGAACAAAATCTGTCTACCAGTATTTAAAAATTCTAAAATTGGGCCAGTATATAAAGAATAGCATTCAGAAAACAGAGGAATTCCAGGCAGTACACAATCAAGGCCAGTTAACACCTCCCAACAAAGGATTCCCCCAGGCAGGAAGCAGCCAGGCTTTGAAGCTGCAAGGCTATTCAATGCTAATCAAGCTGGCCAATTGCAACACTCACACTTTCCTCCAGCAGACAAGAGTTCTTTCTCCCACCCTGGACATTCCACAGATATATAAACCTCACTTGCCTAGTTTCCAACAGACCTCACAACCTCTGAGGATGCCTGCCATAAATGATTTCTAATTTGCTGTTAAGGAATATTATGCCAATCGCTCTTTTTTTTTTTTTTTTGCATTACAGCAGGAAAATCGTTGCATATGAGCTTGTGGAAAATAGGCTTAAAATTCTCTTCCCCTCCATTTGCGTGTCTCTGGAGCAGTGTGTCTGTGTGTCAAAGAGAGAAAGGATACAGAGAGAAGAAAGGAAGGCAGGGAGACATCAGTCATTTTGTGTTGTCAAAGGCTTTCATGGCCAGAGTCACTGACTGCTATGAGTTTTCCGAGCTGTGTGGCCATGTTCCAGAAGCATTCTCTCCTGAAGTCTCACCCTCATCTGTGGCAGGCATCCTCAGAGCTGGTGAGGTCTGTTGGAAACTAGGCAAGTGAGGTTTATATATCTGTGGAATGTCCAGGGTGGGAGAAAGAACTCTTGTCTGCTTGAGGCAAGTGAGAAAGTTGCAATTGGCCACCTTGATCACCACTGAATGGCCTAAAGCTGTGTTTCTCAACCTGGGGGTTGGGACCCCTGGGGGGAACACAAGGGAATGTCAGAGGGGTTGCCAAAGAGCATCAGAAAACATAGTATTTTCTGTTAGTCAAGGGGGTTCTGAGTAGGAGGTTTGGCTCAATTCGCTCATTGGTGGGGTTCAGAATGCTATTTGATTGTAGAACGATAAATCCTAGAAACTACAAATGACAAACTCTATTTTCCCCAAACTCCACCAGTCTTCACATTTGGACATATTGAGCATTTGTGCCAACTTTGGTCCAGATCCATAATTGCTTGAATCCACAGTGCTATTTGGATGTAGGTGAACTACAGCTCCCAAACTCAAGGTCAATGCCCACCAGACCCTTTACAGTATTTTCTGTTGGTCATGGGAGTTCTGCATGCCAGGTTTGGTTCAATTGCATCGTTGGTGGAGTTCAGAATGCTCTTTGACTGTAGGTGAACTATAAATTCCAGCAACTCCAACTCCAAAATGACAAAATCAATCCCCCCAAACCCACCAGTATGCAAATTTGGGCAAATCAGATCAAATTTGGTCCAGTGAATGAAAATACATCCTGCATATCAGATATTTACATTACAATACATAACAGTAGCAAAATTACAGGTATGAAGTAGCCATGAAAATAATTTTATGTTTGGGGGTCACCACAACATGAGGAATTGTATTAGGAAGGTTGAGAAACACTGTTGTAGTGGGTCTGCATATAGTTTGTAGGTTGTGTCTATTGGAAACTAGGCAAGTGGGGTCTATATATCTGTGGAATGTCCAGGGTGGGAGAAAGAACTCTTGTCTGCTTGAGACAAGTGCGAATGTTGCAATTGGCCAGCTTGATTAGCACTGGATGGCCTAAAGTAATTCTTTTTTCAGGATTCCAGTGCACATCTGATGCTGTAGGTGCCAAAATATCTGGCTGACCTCTTTGCCCTCTACAAAACGAGTCGGAGGGCAAACTATGGGCTCTTCCACACAGCCGTATAACCCAGAATATCAAGGCAGAAAATCCCACAATATCTGCTTTGAAGTGGGTTATCTAGGTCCACACTGCATTATATTCCAGTTCAAAACAGAATATGTGGGATTTTATCTCTCCTGTGATATCGGAATGCAGCCAAACTCTGTAATCTGATCATGATGTTAATATAGCTTGAGGTAAAGGTAAAGGTTTCCCCCTGACATTAAGTCTAGTCATGTCCAACTCTGGGGGTGATGCTCATCTCTATTCCTAAGCCAAAGAGCCAGCATTGCCCATAGACACCTCCAAGGTCATGTGGACAGCATGACTGCAAGGAGCGCCGTTACCTTCCTGCCAGAGCGGTACCTATTGATCTACTCACATTTGCATGTTTTCAAACTGCTAGGTTGGCAGGAGCTGGGGCTAATGGCAGGAGCTCATGCCGCTCCCTGGATTCGAACCTGCGACCCAGTTCGGCAGCTCAGCGCTTTAACCCACTGTGCCACAGGGGGCTCCAATATAGCTCAAAGGCGTCCAGATAATGGGGAAGCTCTTACTGGGTTTGGAGGGTAAACAAATGCAGTTTTGACACTATTGGAACAGCCCTGGCTCAATGCTATGGAATCATAGGAATTATAGTTTGTCTGGTCACCAATGCATTTCGACCGAGAGAGCTCAAGACCTTCAAATGCACCACAATTGAAGGGAGATGTTGACAAGCTGGAATGTGTCCAGAGGAGGGCGACTAAAATGATCAAGGGTCTGGAGAACAAGCCCTATGAGGAGCGGCTTAAAGAGCTGGGCATGTTTAGCCTGAAGAAGAGAGGGCTGAGAGGAGACATGATAGCTAAGTATAAATATGTGAGAGGAAGTCATAGGGAGGAGGGAGTAAGCTTGTTTTCTGCTGCCCTGGAGACAAGGACTGGGAGCAATGGCTTCAAACTACAAGAAAGGAGATTCAATCTGAACATGAGGAAGAACTTCCTGTGAGAGGCGTTCAGCAGTGGAACTCTCTGCTCCGGAGTGTGGTGGAGGCTCCTTCTTTGGAGGCTTTTAAGCAGAGGCTGGATGGCCATCTGTCGGGGGTGCTTTGAATGCGATTTTCCTGCTTCTTGGCAGAATGGGGTTGGACTGGATGGCCCATGAGGTCTCTTCCTGTGATTCTATCTCAAGGAAACAGATAGGAATTCCCTCTCTAGTATCTCACTCTGCTCAACTTCCGAGGAGGAAAGCCTGAGTCTCCATGCTTCCTTGAAAGGAAAGGCTTGTCCTTACTGTATTGAATAGGCATGGGCCAACTTGGGCCCTCCAGGTGTTCTGGACTCCAACTCCCAGAATTCCTAACAGCCCCAGGCCCTTTCCTTTCCTTTCCCTTTCGAGATGACCAGCGGGTTCCTTGGATTCGGCTGTTTTCCCCGCCAACGCCACCCAAATCGCCCTTTGAGAGGGCATAGAAGGAGAGGAAGGAGGATGCCCGGCTTTACTGACCTGCTCCGGTGGAAATCCGCTCCGCTTTCCCCGAGGAAACGTCCAGCCAAGCCCAGGCGCGTCTCTCCGGCTTCAGGCGCACCGGCGGGACAGCGCTTCGCTCGCCCAGCAGCCGCTCCCAATAGCCAGGGGGCGGGGCCAAACACACAGGGGCGGGGCCAGGCTTCGGCCGCTGCCCAATCAGATCCATGCTCCAGCCCTTATTTGAATACAATTGCAAGTCTCTCTAAAGGTGCCTCTACAATGAAGAATATGACAGCAATTTCACTGCTTAGGACTCATAGGACTGTAGACCTTTCTGCTCAAGAGTGCTGGTGCCTTACCAAACTATAACTCCCATTACTCAATAGCACTGATTCTATAGCCTTACCAAACTATAACTCCCATTATTCTATAGAATTGATTCTATAGGCCATCTGTCAGGGGCATTAAATGGTCAATGTAGATGGGGCCCATGTGGCACTCTTAGTCTTTCTTTCTTTGTATGCTCTACCTTATAGAGTTGCTTGTTGTGAGGATATGCAAGATTCCTGCTTCTTGGCAGGGGGTTGGACTCTTCCAACTCTTTGATTCTATGATTCTATGATTCTATAGCCTTACCAAACTATAACTCCCATGATTCTTTAGCACTGATTCTATTGCCTTACCAAACTACAACTCCCATTATTCTATAGCCTTACCAAACTACAACTCCCATGATTCTATAGCCTTACCAAACTGTAACTGCCATGATTCTATAGCATTGAGTCTATAGCCTTACCAAACTATAACTTCTTTGATTTTATAGCATTGATTCTATAGCCTTACCAAACTATAATTCCCATGAACCTATAGCGTGTCTATAGCCTTACCAAACTGTAACTCCCATCATTCTATAGCACTGACTCTATAGCCTTCCTAAACTATAATTCCCATGATTCTATAGTATTGATTCTATAGCCATACCAAACTATAACTCCCATGAATTTAAAGCATCAAATCTATAGCCTTATCAAACTATAATTCCCATGAATCTAAAGCACCGAGTCTATAGCCTTACCAAACTATAATTCCCATGATTTTATAGCATCGAGTCTATAGCCTTACCAAGCTATTACTCCCATGTTTCTATAGCATTGATTCTATAGCCTTACCAAACTATAACTCCCATGAATTTATAGCATCAAGTCTATAGCCTTACCAAACTACAATTCCCATGATTCTATAGCATTGAGCCTATAGCCTTACCAAACTATAACTCCCATGAATCTATAGCATTGAGTCTATAGTTTCACCAAACTATAATTCCCATGATTCTATAGCATTGAGGCTATGGCCTTACCAAACTATAACTCCCATGATTGTATAGCAATAAACTGCATTAATTCTACAGTGTAGATCAGGCCTGGACAAACTTGGTCCCTCCAATTGTTTTGGACTTCAACTCCCACCATTCCTAACAGCCTCAGGCCCTTTCCTTTTCGGGGGAAAAGGAAAGGGCCTGAGGCTGTTAGGAATGGTGGGAGTTGAAGTCCAAAACAATTGGAGGGACCAAGTTTGCCCAAGCCTGGTGTAGATGCACACCAATCCCTCTCTGAGAAAGTATTTTTCAGAAAACCCTTCTCAATGTGATGGTTCTCAATATGATGGCTATGGACTACTGCTGGTCCTCAACAAGTTTCCAGGAAGGAAAGAAAAACAGTTGTTTCCAATGGGCACAGGAGAAGCACTGCTTCAAATTATTTCTGCTAGTCAAAGATTATTATGATTACTGAATTAAATCATATGTGCACTTATGTCAAATTGGACTACACTAGGCACACTAATAATTTAGCAAAACCTGCTGGCTGCTGAACAGATTTAATAACACAGTGTGGGCAATTTTATGCATAAATCATCTGAATGTTGTCCTGAAGCATGAACTATCCAGGTGCACGTCTCCAATTTGCCACAGCCCCGTCTACACTCAATGCCGTTTCAAACCAGTACTGAAGAAAGTGGTTTCACTGTGCAGATGGTTACACACGAAATCATAGAATCATAGAGTTGGAAGAGACCCCATAGGCCAACCAGTCCAACCTCCTGCCAAGAAGCAGGAAAATTGCATTCAAAGCACCCTGAAACCAGTTTGAGGCCTGGATGGGGATTACATAAACCACAGATTGATGCACATTAAGTGTTTTCTTTTGTGCACTTTTGTAGGAGTTTTTTTCTCTGGCCACTAAAGTTGGAGGTTAGATTCAAACTGCATTAAATGGTCAATGTAGATGGGGCCCATGTGGCACTCTTAGTCTTTCTTTCTTTGTATGCTCTACCTTATAGAGTTGCTTGTTGTGAGGATAAAATTGACAAGAACAGTGTACTCTTTGTAAGGTGCTTGGTGGAAAGACTGGGTAAAAACATAAATTATTAATCCATCAATCTCTTTGAACTGCTAGGGACAAAGATATGCCAGTGCACAAACACACACACACACACATATATATATTCAGCAGAATATATGTTTTTGGGCACTTTTGAAACTGCTGTATGTGTGTGAGCATTGGCATATCTACTCTCACTTAAAATATATTTGCCTTTAAATCATGCTCAAGAGAAAAAATAAGCAGACTTTTAAAAAAGTTACATACGAGGGTTGAATGAAAAGTAATGCCTCCACCTTCATAACTCCTCAACAGATGGCAGTACTGGTATGCAGCAGGCAGTGGCTTGTTCAGTAGACTCTTCTCTACAGTTCTATTTTGGTGGGAAGCCTTAGCATTGAAYGGTTGTGTTATTAAAGTGCAAAGTATGGAACCCTTCACAGATGGTCGGTCAATGCGACTTAAGCAATGTGCAGTCATTGAATTCTTGACAGCAGAAGGTGTCACCCCAAAGGAGATTYATCAGAGAATGCAAGCTGTTTATGGTGATTTTGTTGATGTGGGTACTGTGTGTTTTTGGGCGAGTAAGTTTAAAGACGTTGAGATGGGAACATCTGACTTGCATGACAAACAAAGAGTTGGACGTCCTTTGACAGCAACCACCGAGTTTCACAAGCAAAAGGTTGACAGAGTGATTCAGGATTATCGTTGTATCATTCAGAGAAAAATTTCAAGCATAATCAGCATTTCACAAGAACGTGTGGGTTGCTTTGCTTGGCTATTGGAAGATCTGTGCATGATGGGTTGCGGAAACAGAATGTTGACTTCTTCCATGACAGCTTGAGAAAACTTGTTCATCATTGGCAGAAATGTATCCAATTGTCTGGTGATTATGTGAAAAAGTGAATAGTGATAGTTAAAGAGCACCTTCTAAGATTATTTCTGCGTTTGATTTATTAAAATATTCCCATCCAAACCCAAGTAACGAAGATGGAGGCATTACTTTTCATTCAACCCTCATAGTTGGTTTATTCACAGACTTCATGTATTCAGCATATAGGTACTTTGCTTATCAATCCAGTTACAAATAGGATTTGAAGTAGTTTCTCTGTGTAGGCAACACAGGACATTATTCTTAGAATTGGTAGTCCATAGTCCAAAGCACCTCTCTGTTCTGTATAATAGAGTCTCTGCAGTCTGTTTCAACTAACTTCTGAAAATATACATCTCTTTCTACTGAAGTCTAAACCACACTGTTTCTAAAATGGAGTCTGAACTCTGAAAAAGTCCAGTTCTGATCACATAGTCTGTAGCCCCTCCCACAATGAAGAGTTAAGGTAAAGTTGCAAACCAATACACTACAGTAAGCAATAACAAACAACTAGTGGAGGCTTGAGAAGATTGCTATTTCCATCAAGTTGGATTGGAAATAGCTCTAATTCATAAACCACAGTGCAACAGTTGCCACTCAGTTACAAAGGCCACAGATCCATTGATTTTAAAAATAGATCAATTGTTTAAAAAGTTTGAATTTTAATTGGAATTGGGTGTGTTTTTAATTACATAAGATATTTTGCTCAGGTTAAATTTAATGCTCTAAACATTACAATCAGATTTCCATATTCACAGGAGTTAAGGGCCCAACACCCCACAAAAGTGGGAAAAAATGAATACTACAAGTTTCTCCCACTCCAAAAAAACACAGGTAGGCAACAGACTCCTTTCTCACCAACTTCCCATCATGTATACCACATTTATGATGATGTGAGGCAAGGATGTGGATCATCGGGGAAAGGAGTTTAAATTCTGGCAGTGAAAGGCGAAGAGGTCCTGCTGAGTAAAGCAGCAGCTACAACAGGCATGGGCAAACTTTGGCCCTCCAGGTATTTTGGACTCCAACTCCCAGACTTCCTAACAGCTGGTAGGCTTTTAGGAGTTGTGGGAATTGAAGTCCAAAATGCCTGGAGGGCCGAAGTCTGCCCATGCCTGAGCTACAAACTCTTGAATAATCAAATCCACGAAAGAAAAACCTGCAAATGCGGAGGGCACGCTGTAGTTTTAAAAATCCCAAGTCAATGATATCATCATGAATAGTAATTATGGAACATCTAATTATATTCTATGAATATATTAACACAGCAGTTTATGTGGAAGGGAGATAAGATGATTACCGATGGAGTAGGACTAATGTATGTTAAGAACTCTCTCTTTCTCTTTCGGTCTTTGCTCTCACTAAAGGCAAAGAGAGAGAGAAGGCCAATGAACAGAGAAAGAGCAGAGATTGATTAGATTTAAACAAGAAAGAGAAGACCGGATATGAAGTCAAGGGATCCCATTTTATCAGAAACCGAAAATTAAACAGAAAACAATTCGGAGGAATTGCTTTGTGTGTGGCTACATTCTAATGAAACTTGCACCTCCGAATATGCATGAAGGTGATATTAAGCAATAATGTACTTCTACTAAAAATGATGACTAAATAGAATCTTCTTCAGTTGCTATTCAAAGTGTGATTTGCATCATTAAAGATGAATCCTTCAGAGACGTAATTTACATCAAATTGATTTAAAGCAGATCAATCTTTCTCCATGGCTGCCCCCAGGGATTGGAATTCCCTTCCTAAAGAGGCTAGACTCGCTTCTCCTTGCTGTCCTTTCATCAGGAGATAAAAACCTCTTTATTCCAACAGGCCGTGGGGAACGGATTGTGTTATAAGGAAAGGGTTTTTCTTAAACCAGTGTTGTAAATAGTTTTAATTGTATAGGTAGCTTCATAG